TGTGTGTGTGTTCTGGGCCCCGTCTTCAACCATTTGCCTGGCGTCTTGGTGCATGCCAATCCCGTACAGCTTCGGGCGCTCGCTGCAAGGAGTGGACGCTGCCATGCCTGGCAACCGTGAGTGGCATCGCATTTCCCGCCCTGGATCAGCATCGTCTACGCATCCCCATCCCCACTGGGCCATGTCATCTCAGCCGCACCAGCCCCTCCATGCCCTCCCCCTAGGTGGGGGTAGAACATGCGAAGCCTGATGGGAACCGCATATATATACACATACATACATACATGCATGCATGCATACATACATACATGCATACATACATGCATACATACATACATACATACATGCATGCATGCATGCATGCATGCATGCATGCATACTCACGTCAGCGGGTAACTGATTCGTCGACATGCCAGTGGGGCTGGGGTGTGATTGAACGATGCTCACTGGATGACGCCGGCGACAGAGGCCATTCTTCGCACAACCTTTGAAATCAAAGAGGGCTTGTTCACCGAAGAGCGCGGGGCGCTCGGTCTCGCCGCCAGCGCCGGACCCCCTTCCTCGGAGGAAGGAGTAGGGACAACACCACCGGCACAGCCACCGCTGGCGAGGAGGTCCGCGATACCTCCCTGGGCTGGAGGCTGGAGACGTCTCGAGCGGGCGTCCGAAGCAAGCAGAGGGAGCGCAACACCAGGAGGAGCCCCGACGCTTGCGGAGGGGACCGCCCACGGACACGTCTGGCGTCTGCGTGTTTGTGGTGGGCTCTTCTTCTGGATATTGCTTTTGTATCTTCTGGCGCGTAGCAGTCGTGGCCCTGGCCAACCCCCCCCTGGGGTACCGGTAGCAATTGTACATGGATGTGGAGGGGACCGCCCTATGTAAGTACTCGCGCGTACACTTTGGCGGTCGCAGCGCTCCCCCGCCCCGACGTGCCTTTAGGTGATGTTAAGTCGCTGTGTTTGTTCCCGTGCTCGAGATTGACGTTTTTATTGTTTAAAGGCCAGTGCATTTCCGTCTCGGGATTCTCCTTCGCGCAGTTGTCGGTTCGGTTCCATGTTGCATTGTTGGTGTTTTTGTTTGGGGCTGCCGTTGTTTCCCCAGCTTGGGTCTGCCGAAAGCCGAAAGCTGAAAACCGCGAACAAAAACAACGTTTTTAACATGTGCCCCACCCCCCCGGTAACGACCGCTATTGGGAGTTATGTTAAACATGAAAGTCTTGATGGCTTCGGCGCGCGACAGCTGGCGCACGCGGCTGCGGCGGCCCACTGGCGGCTGCGGGAGGCAGATCTCTCCCTGCCTCTGCTCGAAACTGTTGTTTCGCCCCCAGAGCTTCCGCTCCGCAGCGTGCTTACCTGTGCCTCTTTCTCTCTCTCTTTCTCCCTCTCTTTCTCTTTCTCTCCCTCTCTCTCTCTCTCCCTCTTTCTCTCTTTCCCTCTCTCTCTCTTTCTCTCTTTCCCTCTCTCTCTCTCTCTCTCTCTTTTCTAGGCCTCTCAGATGCTGGCCATCGCTCGGACGTCCATTCCCTGTGTTTTGTTCTGTTACGTGCGTGGCCTTTCCCCCAAATGATCAAGGATGCTCCCCGATGGTCCTCGCCGAAGGAAGAATGCACACGTCCGAGCGATGCCAAGGATGGGTCGGAGCAGATGGGGTCGGAGGATCGCGCCGCATCGGCGATGCATCGGCGATGCGGCTCGATGCGGAGCCCATTCACGCCGACATCGCCGATGCATCGGCGATGCGGCCGGATCCTTCGACCCCATCTGCTTGGACCCCATCATAATGCCTCCTCTGGCCGCTCCCCATGGGACAGTGCTCCCAGCGTCGGGTCGAGTCGGGAAAACATCACGACGGAAGGGTTTTCGCAGTTTTCGGCTTCCGGTGGCCCTTCCCGGGCCTCAGGACCGTCAAAAAGCGATTCGGGATGACACGTCGGTTGCGGGGAAGGTGTCGAGACCTTTGGGGACCGACGTCATAAAAAAATCATGACGTCGGGGGTCTGGGTGGATTGTCTTCCCCGTGTCGTCCTCTCTGGTCCAGGCCCGCCCTGCGACGTCTACGCAAGCGCGCGCATCGTGCAGCAGTGCTTCCTGGGCGGCGGCGAGGCGGCGCCTTTTGGCGGGGCTGCCTGGGGGGCGCGGGGGCGAGGCGCACTGGCCTTTCCACCCTTCTGGCCATCGTCATAAACCCTGCTCCTCCCCATCCCCATCCTCCCCATCCCCATCCCCATCCTCCACCTTCCCATCCCCATCCCCCTCCTCACCTCCTCCACCTCATCCACCCACTCCTCCACCTCCCCATCCCCATCCCCCTCCCCATCCACCTCCCCATCCCCATCCTCCACCTCCTCCACCTCCCCATCCTCTGGCACATATCCTCCACCTCCTCATCCCCATCCTCATTCTCTGCCCAGCCATGACAGGCCAGCCCCCGAACTACAGACGGGGCAACGAAATCTTCTCAGGGGACCTTCTCCCCTCTGGCACGACTTCCGAGCTCCGGA